TATAGTTTTTCTTATGTTAGTTGTGGTCTTCTCTTTGCATTGGATAAAAAAGGGGGAATTGTAGTGATTGATTATTTATTAAAGTTTGACTGAGGATTCAGAGAGCAAATTTGCCACAAGCTATAGAATCCCTTTAATCCCAGCAGCCAAAAGCTAGGAGGTGGTGGTACACCTTTAACTCTTAGGCTCAGGATTAAGAAATAAATGGATCTCTATGAGTCTAAGGCCACTCAGATCTACACAAGAGTGGATCAGTCTGAAAGAGAATTATAGCTCACACCTTTAATCCCAACATTAGATAAGACCAAAGCAAGGTCTCAGAGAGGCATTCATTCTCCAGTCACACTGAAAAGGTCACAGTCTGAGGCTTGGTGAAAAGCTCTTGTGTGGATCAGCCCTTTCAGCCTGAGTTTGAGGTGAGAGCTAGTGGCCAGCTGCTTTGCTTTTCTGCTATTCAGCTTGAAGTTTGAACCCCAGTATCAGCCTCTGGGTCTTTTATTAATTCTTGTTACAAGAACAAACTAATTATAATTAGACTCAGGAATCTCATTTGGTATTTAAAAAAGGGGGGAGTAGATAGGATAGAATAATGAGGTGGCTTAGTATATCTACTTGTAAACTATTTTAGAAACTATTAGTTTTAGGCAATTTACATTGGTATAGATTCTTGTATATTAATACATATGTAAAATTATTTTTGTATTATGATAATTTGTATACTTATACAAATTCAAAATTATATTTGTCCTATTGTATATATTCCTGTTTCTGTTTATAATATTTTGTACACAAATGCAAAATTATTTTTGTCATGCTGTATGTATGTTTATAATTCTGCTTAAGATATTTTGCATATTATACAAATTAAGAATATTTTTATCATATTGCACTATACATTTCTACCACTGATTAAGATATTTTTATGCACTGTTACAAGATAATTGTCCTTATGCTGTACATGTTTGAAGATTGTTTATTTTTATAATGTGAAGTTTTAGTCTTTAAGCTACATAGGTTATTAAGAATTATAGGTTAATAGTCACTCATGTTTGTTGTAAGGAGTAGGGTTTTTCCTCCCACCGCTGGTCTTGTCCCGCTGTAACACACTGAAACTCTGTATTTGATACAATGCTGTTGGCCTGGTTACTTGTTTCTTATCCGCTAGCTCTGTCTTAATTATTAGCCCATTTCTATGTATTTCCACGTGGTCTTACCAGGGAGAGGCGGCTGGTGGTTCTGCCTTCTCCAGATTCTCCATCTTGACTCCTCCTTACTACTTCCTCTTTCCTCCTTGTCTCCTAGTCCCGCCTATCTTGCTTTTATTGGCCAACAGTGCTTTATTCATTAAACCAGTATGAGAAACACATATACAGAATGACATCTCCCATCAGTTTGCCATACTTATAATTATGTGGTTAGGTTCTCTAGTTGCACAGAAATATACTCCTTGTAGATAGGTTAATCTTCAAACACTTCAAAGACCTATAGAATATGGCATTTGAATGTTTTAATAATTTAGAAATCTTGCCAAGAAAAGACTGCTTCTGGTGGCATCCATCTAATCCCCAGAGAATGACAGGCACCCAAGACACTCCATATGGAGCTTGTTTTTTTCTTGGCAAAACTGACCTTTTGGGCAAAGGACTGCCTTTGCATTGACAAGCATGCTGTCTAATCTGGACAAGCAGGATACAAAGAAAAGCAACTGCTGAACCTTGCCAAGACAGGGTAGGACAGGCTTTCAAAATTTCCTGCTTCTGAAGTCTGTCAGATGTTCTAGGCCTTAGCCAAAATTGGTTGCCCCAATATTATAGAGTGACTTTGGGTGACTGTCCAGGCAGCCAGCTGTTTCTGTCATTTTTTGCACATTTGGGAAATTGCCTGCTTACTCGGGTAATATTATTTTCCTTCTCATGTCATTTTTGGGGTTGGAGACTAGATAGTCACAGTTACTATCCTCTCATATCTTAGCTAAGGCGTTTGGGTACAAGACTTAGACTCCTTAGGCTAGGACAGCTGTTGAAATAATCTCTTTTATTTGCCAATTACCTATGGCCAGACATTTAGTGTGTGTTCCTTGCTAGATGTTGTTCTTGTTGGTTGTAGTTCCATTTTTGTAAATGTTATTACCGTTATTACCTTTTCTCTCTCCTGGACAATACTTGATAATTGTTCTTATTGTATATAGTTTTTATAGGCTTGAAACTTTCTTATTTAGACAAAAAAGGGAAGTGTTGTGGGAATTCATTTCACTGGTAGCTTTGGGGTACCAACCTTAGGGTGTGACTTCTTGGCTATGGACCTGGTCTCTTAAAAGGAGAGAGATAAGGGTTGCATGCTCTCTTGGGTTGTCAACACTGGGTCAGGCAGCATGAAGAAGCATGTGGCTAGGTACAGCTCCCTTGAGCAGAATGGAAGGATTTTAAAACTGGTTATACCTTGTCTTGTATCCATGAGTCTATATATGCTTCTCATAACACATGCCAAAATTAGAAAGCTGGAATAGGGGTTGGAGACAGACAGAACTCTCCTGTCCAGCTGCAGACCATCCCAGAGCAAGACTGGTACCTATGCTGTCAGTTCCAACCTCAGAGCCAAGTCTGTGATGCTTCTAGTCATCAGAAGTGCTACAGATCTGGGGCTATACCAAGCCCTGTCCACTGGCCAGGCACCAGTCTCTGCCAGGTGCCAAGGATGTGTCCCCAACACACAGCCAAGAGAGTCTGAGATCTCAAGTCACATGCAAATAGACCCCCACCAAACCGGGGCTCAAGGCAGAAGCTGCAGACTCACGGATGATTCAGAAATGATTGCTTTGGCTTGCCCTGTGGGTGCCTGATATTACAGCTAGATGGAGAAACTATGCATGCTCCCAAAGCCTTTTCTCTGTGACCTTGTTTCTGACTATGGCCAGATCCTGAACGCTTGCTGTTTTGTACCAGCAGGAAGATACCTTTGAGAGAACTGAAGAGCTGTCAGCTCACCTGTCCCTAGGAGGCTGTCTCATGGACAGAAAGTTGTGTGTGTAAAAAGTCACAAGGGTAGGAAAACCTGGCTCACCAAAGATTCCCAGCAACTATGCATCCCTATCTAAGCTCTGCCTCAGAATATAGATGCCAGATGGACTAGAGCCTGAAGGTCTAGGGATAGTTCAAAGCTTCCCCAGTTCTATAGTACAAAAGTGCCCAGAGAAGCCATAGTTCAAAGGTTCCCCAGTTCTATAGTACAAAAGTGCCCAGAGAAGCCCAGGAACATCCCACAATTGCTCAGACCTGAGTGGCTGCAGTCTCTTCACACCCTGCCATAGATTTAATCAGCTACCAGGAAAGGTTCTACTGAGTCATCTAGAAGAGCATCAGCTTCCTTTAGAGGTCCCTCCTTTCCACACACCAAGACAGCCCTTCACCTGCCACTGGTGGGCCAAGCAGAGGCAGAGTGAGTGAATTGGTTCTAGGAGCATCCTCAAGAGGGCTCCTTGTTCTGCAGCTCTCCTCCATCGGTAGTGCCTGGTGCTCATTAGACACAGAACTCTGGGCCAATCTCAAGCAGACATGGGTCCAAGTCACTGTGCAACACCTAGACCAGATCCCCATCCTCCAGAACCTATACTCTCCTGCTCATACTTAGACCCTGCCAGACCATAAGAGGTAGCAATTTTGTTCTACTTCCCCTCCCCTTCTATACTCTGGAATAACTTGACTGTTTTTATACAAAACATACCATTCCTTCAGTGCTATTATTAGTATCTTAATTCTCAGTGGCTTGGGTTGTATTATGAATACTTATCTATTTTATTGTGTTTTTATGGTGCTAGGATTTGAACACTGTGCTTTGTACATGCTGATTAAATGCTCCATCATCATATTACACTCTCCATTCCAATGATTATTTCTTAAGAAAGTCAAGAGGAAGTTGGTTCTTGACCTCTTGAACTCCAGGCTCTGCCCGCCCCCTGTAACCTGAGTAGAGTTCCCTCCAGCTTTCAGAGTTGAATTTTATGTGTGTGCCTGAAGGAAAGGTGGAGGGACACTGTGACTTAGGAGCTGGCCTATATTATCAGTGTGACGTTTGCTAAGTGGGAAACAGAAGGATGGACCCAGTAGAGAGCCCTGACCTTTTGAAGAAATTGAGTTTTCTTCAGGGATGACTCTGGTCCATTAGGGGGTGCTCTAAGGTCATCTGAGTGGTGCAGCATGCATGGGGGACTGTGATGTTCAGAGTCTGTCTATGTGTCTGGTATGGGCTCTTCTGAGTGTTCAGAACAGAACCCCTAATGTCTACTTTTCTGGCTTGCAATCCTTTCACTTCATACTCAGCTCCTGCAATCTGCTACTCTTTTACTTTCAGAACCTCCTACTCATGGCCAAAGTCACTTTCCTGGGTCTGCTGCATACCTCTAAAACTCCCCGTGACATCCCCTAGCCTAGGTTTGGGCCCTGACATTCTCCAACTCTGATAGCCTCCTTCTAAAACAAGGTTGGCAATATCTTACAGGCAGATGAACACTAGACCCCATTCCACCTAGAGCAGAGGGTATAATTACCCCTGGACCAGAGCCCTCAGGGCAGGGCAGGCAGGACCCCCTTCACATGGGCTCTCATCCCAGTGTGAACCCAGCCTTGGACCAGTTGGTTGTTCTATGGCTCCCTCAGCTATCAAAGCTGGAGGGAAGGCCATAGTGTGGCCTGGGTCAGTCTGGTTCCCCTGACATCAGATCCAACCCTCCACCTTCCCACACCCCCACCTCCCACCCCCTGCCTTCCAGCCTCTGCATTCCACACCAACTTCCAACCAAGTCTGAACCCTGAAAGAAATCCTCATGGAGTTCAAGAAACACAGGCGGCAGGAGTTTAAGATTCTATAATTTAAACAGATAAAATACCATAAAATAGCTTATCACATGACTGAGATCAGAGAGCCTACAACAGTGGGCAGAGTAATGATGGCTTTTGGAAGGTGTGGGACTGAGTGAAGAGAAGCTGCAGTTTCCAGGGCTGGAACAGGAAGATGTAGCTCATATTTAGCCTCAGCTAGCAGGGTTTCACCTTCTTCAGGTATTTTTGAACCCAAGTGGTTGTATTCAAGGCACAGCTTTCTTGACCTTTCTTCAGTCTGAATCTGTGAATAGAGGGCACATGCAGGACCCGAGTCACCCACTAGGAACCTGGAACACTCATCTCCACTTCTGTGAAACCAGGGTCCCTGAGCTCTCCCCTCTGTAAATGATCTGAAGCTGGCATGCTGGTGTCACCTTGGGAGTTTATTAATGGGGACCTCTAGACTGTCTTCTAGGGACTATGATTCCCTCTGTGGGGCTGACGCAGAGAAGCTGACCAACACCCTGATGTTTGGCTAGGGTGAAACTTCCCCATCCTAGAACAGTGCCCTGCTCCAGCTCTAAATGTCTGTGTGTCCGGCTGGGACCCACTCATTGCTCTGGGCTCGTGTGTGTGTGTGTGTGTGTGTGTGTGTGTGTGTGTGTGTGTGTGTGTGTGTGTGTGTGTGTGTGGTGTCCATGGTATATAGATGTGTGGTGGCCAGAGGTTGGTAGTAGAAAGTCTTCCTCAAGCCATTGTCTGTCTATCTTGCTTTTTGAGGCAGGGTCTCTCACTGAATCTTGAGCCTGTTTCAGTTAGGCAAGAGCCATAAATGCCACAGGATGTGCCTGTCTCTGCCTCATCCAGCTGGAGTTACAAACTCACCACCCTGTTTGACCTTCTCCGTGCTTGCAGGGAATATGAACTCAGATTATCATGCTTGGGCAGCCAAACATTTTACCCACTGAGCCAATGCTCCAGCCTGTCTGTCGCTTTTGTTAAGCATTTCCTTCTGGATATATAATATGGGACATAATTATGGCACTTTGGAGTTCAAGCAAATAAATCAGGAATCCCTCCTGGGAAGCCCTACTCGCCCCCTAGCGGCCAAGCGTGGCGCTGCACCATACTTTGCCTGGCTGGGTTTAGAGTCCCTATTCCTATAGAACAGCGCCATCTAGTGTCCACTATTCTCATTCCAGCCAGCGTTATCCCTTCCCCAGGCTAAAGGCTGGTCAATATTCACTCACACCACAGCTGGATGGGAACAGGAGGAGCTGATCTCTCTGTAACACTGGATTAACTTCTGGGGAGGGATTTTCTTCAGAAATCTGAAGCAGCAGCGAGAGGAGGGCACGTGCACTAGAAGAAAAGCACAAAAGACCTTTGGCACCCTTACCTCAGCTTCGCACCCACACAAGGATTTAAAAGTAAAATACACAAAGCCCTTCCTAGGACAGACTCAGGCATGGAGACCATATCCAGAGGGCCATGGTGCAGCCCAGCCTCAGCAGCCACTCACCTCTGGCTGAGGGGAACAGAGTTAAGCACCCCTCACAAACCAGCAGATAGTAGAGACATTCACCACAAGCCAGCCTGAGCCCATGGCTCGGGACATAACCCCTCTCTTGTCTGTACAGTGAGATCCCACATATATAGCCCCTTTCCGTTCCCATCCCTCATCCCAAGTGCACAGCTCTGTCTTTTACCAGAACTTAAGCTCCCCATCCTAGGGAACCTGTTATCCCGTTGCAAGCCAGACATTGCAGTCCATGGTTTACAAACATGGAACTCGGTAAGGAACTACACAAGAGCTCAGAAGGGAAAGGTGTATTCCCAAAAAAGTAGGGAGTTCACTTCCTCCGCAAGCACCTGCACCCCCTTCCTTGGTCCTAACTTCTTTCATAGCCCAATAACCCCAAACTCTGCTGGCCCGTGAACTCCCCTCCCCAAATCCCACCTTCACGTCCCTACGTTCTAACACTGGCTCCTTCCTACCTCATGATTCACAGAAGCCTTCAGCTGCATTGTTAGGTTGGTGTTCCATTTTAGCCATGCAGAAAACATTTTTTGAGAGGTCTAATCATTTTCTGGCTATCAGCTCTTGTGGTTCCTCCTTCAGTCCGTGCCTGTCATCTGTCACACTGAGAGCCTGACCTAGTCCTTCCTCTGGACTTTCAGGGCTCCCAGTTTGTTTAGAACAATCCCATTAGTCCCTTCCAACTGTCTGTAGAGTAAGGGTCAAAATTATCTTCTACACTGAAGCCAGTTCAGCTCTCAAGAGAAAAAGAAAACACTTCCTCCCAAGATAGGGCCAGGCTTGGGACCACACCCAGAGGACCCTGGTCCAGGTCTGTCTCTGCAGCCACTTAGTTCTGAGATAGAAAAGGAGCTGGGGAGGGGGTTCAGGTCTGAGCTCCCCACAAAGTAGGAGATAGATGCTCCTAGCTCATAATCCTCCTCCATGCATGATGCCCTCTGCCCATCCATGCAATCCATTCCTCCTCTCCAGGTGGGAGCAGAGACGGAGCCAGTGAGGTCTCAGTGTGAGTCCTGTCCCATGCCCGGAGCACCTGTCTGTACTTTCCCCTCCTTGGGTCCAAGCACAAGGATCCCAGCACTCACTGCTCTTGCTGTCCACATCTCGTGGCCACACAGCAGCCAGCAGCAGGCACATCAAGGCTGTGGTGATGACTTTCATGGTGATGAGTTTCTGGCTCCGGCCTCTCTGGAGCAACCAGTGAATGTCTGGTGAAGCCAAGAGCTCTCCTCTGCCTCATCTTGTACTGAGCTTTTATCAGAATCTGCAGGGTGCTTTCCCAGACCATAAGGAAGATGTGGGAGTCCCAGGGAGAAGGAACTCATACCCAATGGCCACATGGAAAAGTCCTTTCCTAACCTCTCGGGTAGTATTCTAGGTATGTTTGGGTGCCTGCTGGCCTTGGGAAGTTCCCCAAGTGCAAAGGAAGATACCTATCTTCAGATTCTTGACAGAATGTGTGGGAGTTGTCCTAGCTGAGTGGAAAGTCGAGAAAGGTGAAAGAGAGGAAGTGGCCTGTAGACAACTCATCTAACCCACATCATTCCATTTAAAGCAACTGCTAGCCCTGGAGAAGGACAGAGCCTGGGAGCTTTGAGATACATTGAAGGAGCTTGTGTGGATCCCAGCTCTGCCAATCAGCAACTGTATAAACTTATCTAAGCTGCACACCCCTACAAAGACAGAACCAGTGCAAACCTCAAATGTGGGTGATAAGAATGCAGCAAGGAGCTAGGGAAATGGCTCCATCAGCAAAGTCCGTGCTATGCAAGCGTGAGGACCAAAGTTTGGTCCCCAGAACCCACATAAAAAGTGAGGGTAGTGGCAAGCTTTTGTAATCCCAGAGCTGGAGAGACTGACAAGGAGATCCCTGGAGCTGGCTGGTCAGTCAGCCTAGCCTACTTGGAGAACTCCAGGCCAATGACAGACCTTATTTCAAAAACTAAAGCAACCCATATGCACATCTACACATGCATGTGCACCTTCACACATGTAGAGAGAGAGAGAAAGAGAGAGAGAGAGAGAGAGAGAGAGAGAGAGAGAGAGAGAGAGAGAGAGAGAGAGAGAGAGAGAGAGAGAGATGTTGAAATAAGATCCTCTCAATCAAATGCCTGGCCAACACTTGCTATTTTCTATTTTATCTCTGGTCCCCAGCCCTTTCATGGCTCCCTCTGTTCCAGGTTTCTGGTTACCCTTGGGGACACAATTGCCAATGGTTATAGAGCCTGACCTGAACCATTTAACTTCAACTTACAGACAAACTGTAGGGAGCTACCCAGCACAACGGCTACTCAGTAAAGCAGATATGTTGTATGGAGAGCACGGGAGAATGTTGGAGACACCCAGGGACATCAGAGGACCGTTCCAGGGCAGTGTCCTGTAAGCACATAGCATACTAGGATAAGGAAGGAATCTCTTTAACAAGGTACAAAGGAACACATTTCACTCCAAGTCAACAAGGAAAACTATGGGCGGGTGTGTAGTTGGAGATGGGTTGTGCAGCCAGATGAAAACTATTTGTGCAAGGTGTGGTACTTGGGATAAGCAGCCCATAGTAGACCCTCAAGAAGAGGCAGCTGAACCAAACCCATACAGTGGAATCATGAGGCCTATACACAGAGGATCAACTAGGCTGATCTCCTTCAATCTTAGGCTATGTAACTGAAAACCCTTCTGTGCTTGCCTGTTGCCAGTTGAGCACAGTACATCCCACAGTTGCAGCTCTTCTGTTATGTCCCAAATGGTCACATACCAGCCATCCCTTCTGTCATAGGCTTTCCTATCTCCAGTATTTCATTCCTACTGTAACATCTACCTGACCCACCTTCCTCACCAACTCACTCTGTGGCCAGTCCGCTCATTTCAAACACCTTTTTCCAATAAAAAGTCATTTGCCAACCCCTGTGGGCAGATCTCAGCCTCCTTTGAAGCCCCTGTGTCTGGATGGCAATAAGAAGCCCTTATCTTCCTGCATCTCTCCACTGGGACCCCCCCCCCGGCCCCTCCATGCTACTGTGGCATATCTGAGTTGTAGGAGCCTTTCAAGACCGTTGGCAATGATGACCCTTGACATTCCTGAGGGAGCTTTCTCGAAACTGGGAAGGTCTTGGCTTCAGTTCCAAGTCAGAATCAACGCACAAGTGCCTGTACATGTTAGAAGAAAACTCTGGGTGATTGTCAAAGCACCAAGAGATAAAATCTTCACAGTAGAGAGGGTGGGTGGGTGACTTTCGAAAGAGGAAAGTCTTGGGCTCGATGCTATATTGAGAACGAGGGCAGCGTGGGGGGCAGGGACTCTAGCCCTGGGCAAGAATGGAATCAGCTCTCGTGATTTCTACACTACTGGACCAATGCCAGTCAGTCCCCTACTGCTTCCTACCACCCAAAAAAACTCATTAAAACCACCACTCCATTGTTGCCATGCCCTTCTCTTTGGAGGCTGATGTGTTCTGATCCCTTATCCTGGGATCTTGTGAGAGGAGGTGTGAGTGTATGTCAGCTGACCAAATGCAACTTCAGATAGACCCTTTAGACTCCAGCATTAAAGAAAGGGCCACACAACTACCCAGGAAATTTCTGGTTCTTCCCCTGTTCCCAAGGCTGTCTCTCCAATAACTCACTTCCTATCCTCCCTCTCACTATGGCCACAGCCAACTCCCAAGCAGAAAAGGTGCACTCATCATTACTTTGTCATTCCATCCCTTTCCAGGCTCCTCCAGCACCTGGAAGGAAGTGGCCAAAGGTAGGCTCTTATCATCCAATGACTTCATGTTACCCATGGCTACCCCAACATGGTTGTCATGGACTTGTGGCTAGGACCAAATCAGATTAACACAATCACTGTGAAATGAAGCAGAATGACCCATGATGGATTGCCAAACAAGTAAGTGATCCCAGGGGTGAGCATTGTTCTAATTCATACAAACAAACCTTCTCTTTGTTGCTTCTAGATGAATGCTTGTCACTCACCTTTCATTTTCTAGGTACCCACTGAGTGATGATGGGGGCCAGGTGGCGCTCAGCCAGAGTGGGATCAACCTAAGATGAGTTCACCCATCAGGGGCTGGTACTGTCCAGACACATTCAGCCCCATCCTACCTACTGCATGCTATTTAGTTATAGGTCAGCTGGTCCTTCCAGACCAGACCGTGTGTTCAGCATGGCAGAACTGCAGAGGTGACCTGGTCCATGTCTATGACGGCGTCCTCTGTTCATTTCTTCAGGGAAAGGAAGAGGGCAGTGCCTAAAGCCGGTCATAATTCCATCAGATCTTAGTTCTATCATATCACCTTGGGCGGTAACACAGGCTTCCTGGACTGTACTCCCTCTTGAACCTAATACAACTCTTATCATTGCTTTCAAAATAAACTTCCTAATCCTTGGCCTAATTGTGGATTGTGGGTTGTTGGAAAGGTTCCCTGAGATGGCAGAGGAGATAAATGGAAAGGAAAATTGCATCATTGGAAACTACTGAGCACCTAATACAGGTCAGGTACTAGGAAGCCAAGTGAATCGCATGGGACAGTTTATGTGGAGGCAGACCTTGGGAGCATGACTTAAGTATGGGAAGTGTTCCAGAGGAGACACTGTCCTGGAACCTACAGAATACACTGAATTAACCCTTAAAACTGGGCCCCCTTTGCCATGGATCGGGGACTGCTCTGAGGGGCCCAGGGGTGAGACCAAGAAGTGTCACCATCTCCCAGACAGGGCTCCACTCTCCAGTCTCCACAGACAGCAAGGTCAAGCTTGTTTCCTTAATGGTGTGGACAGAGTATCCTTCTGGGTCCTTGATATCTGCCCCAGGCACAGCTGCCTCAGGTAACCCTAAGTCCATTCACAGTGAGGATGCTAAGCACCCACACATCACAGAATCCCAAGCCCTGTCTCCCCTCCGTCCTGTCCCTGTGGTTTTCAGCCATGACTCCTTCATTCTTTACAGGAGACCTTTCCTGTCTATGATCAGTGACAGCGCAAAGGAAGCTTCTCTCACTCCAATAGGCAGGCAGAAGGTGCCCTGAGCTTGTCACAGCAGTGACCATTGCCAGCTCTTTAATGTGCTTCTGAGCCTGAAATCCCAGCCGGCTATGCTCAGGGTGAAGTACAAATGTCTTTGCTGCTCTTACAAAGTGCAAAGTGATGACCTGGGTCACTGGAATTCTCATCTTCCGATGTCCGGACCTTCTGCTCCTCCTGCCCAGGAACTTGCCCCTGGCTTCATGTGGCCAACTCCGGGCAGGCTGTGCTTCCCCAAGCTCCTGACTTGTTTTTGATTCCCTGAGGTTCCCAGAGAGCAGGGGCCCTTCTGTGCTAGTCAAACCACATTGCGCCATGGTCGTATCACAGGTAGGATGCAGCAAGTACTGGAAGTCAGAAGAAGAAGGGGTCTATAGCCACTGAGGCCTCAAACCTTAAGGGACAGGCAGGGGAATTACACAAGTGGCCAGCTGTGGAATCAGAATAAGGAACTGGGGTCCAAACCTGTGTCTGTTTAGACAATGTGCCACTGCTGGAAACCTCGCAGTTTCTGTGTGGGCAACATATCACATGTGGGGTCTCTGTGACAGCCATGGTTTAGTGGAGTGCTCCTCTATTCTCAGAGGGTCTACTGTTTACTAGTCCCTGTCTGGTCACTGAGGCAAGAGAAGGGGTTGCAGCACAGATCTGCACTCCAGGGCCAGACCTGGAGGTAAAAGCACCTGCGGCAACAAACAGCTGGTCTCGGGTTGTCCAGTGTGAGGTCCAGAGGCTGAGGGCCCCTCGCATAGCAGTGTGGTATTTCATCTGTGCCTGGAAGGATGCAAGTGGAGTGTGCCCTGGGGTGACAAGGGTAAGGATCCTCCATGGTAGGCTGTGGTTTTGAGAGGGTTCTAGACCAACTGTAGGCTGCCAGCACAGGCTCCTCTGAGTGCTTCTTATGGGTCTGAGGGTTGCTCAAGTGCTGGGATCACCTCTAAAGGGGATGCAAATACTCCCTGCTTAGAATCCCAGTGTGGTGATGAAGGCAGGTGCTCAGGACCATGCCTGGCAGAGTTCTCTAGAAAAATGGGAGCAATGAGGTCAAGGCACAGATGTGGAGGCAGGCTCTAAAAATGAACAGGGAGGAGGCCAGAGTCCTTTGACACAAGACTATGCTTGCATGGCTCCTCCATCGTCCCTGTTGACACATAGTTTGTTCAGGACACAGCATGCCTGGAGTCATGGGAAGACTTGGAGGCCCAGGCTGAAAGCTGAGGGCAGGGGAGAAGTGGGGGGGGGGTTGCTGAGTGCTAGTCTCTAGAGATAAAAAGAAGTGAGAATCAGAAATCTTCCAAGACCTTGGACAGGAGAAGTTGCTTCTCACTGGATCTCAGTTTCCTCAATTAAAAACTAGTGGGGGCGGGGAGGCTGGCCTTCTTGCCAGGAAGTTCAACTCATGATGGGACTATTTAGGAAGCTTCAATCGAACGATGGGGCTTAAACCCTGTTAGATGACTGAGGATGACCCCAGGACAACTGGGGTGACAAGTATATCCTTCCAAGTATGGGATCCAATTGCTCTCTGGGTTTCCAGGAAAGACCCCTATGCCCCAAATCCTG